TACTAATGCATGAAAATCCTAACCTCAAAAAAATCACCCGTTACAACCTATAGTGTTTATGGTAAAAGCTCACCTTCTTGGCCAAAACCATTGAGCTGGCATGCAAGCGGCCCAGTTGCTGCAAGATCAATTCGCTGTGTGCCCAATCGAGTTGATCCTGCCGCGAAGCAGTGGTGAATCCATCCATTTTCAAATCATTGAATACGATCGTCTGCATCGGTGCTTTAATGGCATATAAGCAGCTGTGCAAAAGAGATAAAGTTTAGTGTAAAGTTGAAGGCTTTTGGTATTCAATTGAAAAACAAAAGGATTTTAGCAAACTTGGTACGACTTGTACCGTACAATCTGGCACCGTGCAAGGCTTTGCAAGACTTTGAGAACCCCCTTAATAATTTTTCATTTTGTGTCGCAGTTTTATATGACACTAACTTAGCGCTGAATTTATGACCATCCAGAAGTATTTCCAGCCGCGGCAACACATCCAAATAGGTGAATTTCTCTCGCAAAAATACCCCAGCATCTTCGAGAAACCGCGTCTCTTTGGTGATCGGAATAGTTTTAATTATCAATGATAGTTTTTCCTGTCCTGAATGCTCCTTATTTGGTGGCATTCGCCTGAACCCAATCAGGACGCGATAAATGCATGAGCAATAGTTGTCGCCCGGCTTGCTGCCCCACTCGAAAACGGCTTCAATAACTTCGAGTTCGGCGGTCTCCCGCAAACCTGCTTCCAGCGCAGTAACAAAAAACTGTTCATTCAAATAGTCGGGTAAATTGATGTTGTTCGGATTTTTAATAAGCATTTTTTCTGATAATAAACTTTTCTTTACAAAGAACAAATTTAAAATAAAGGTCAATCCACGACGCGCTGCCAAAATCTATTGAAGACTGACTCGAGTGTTTGACCACTTTAATAGACAAAGACCGAGGAACTGATGATCAGTGATGAGTCGACGCTTGGTTCCCAATGCTACGTCATATTGAAAATGTACTTATAAATAGTTTCCGTTGTTTTATTTAAGTATGTATAGTAATAAATAGTATTTTTATGACGTCTATAGAGTCTTAAAATTTCCTCTTTTTGTCGGAGTCATATTTGCTTACGATTTCCCAAAGCTGTTAAATTTCTTTAGAATTTCATGATATCCTCTGTTGCAGTGCTTTTTTCTTACAACCGTGCTTACTTATGTGTACAACTATGTAAAAGAAATTCTAAAATTAGTAATCTTAATCAATGCGACAAGTCGCAAATCGGAAGTGCATGATTTTAAGTGCTCCATTCTAAGCCGTACTTGGGAAGTCCAGATCAAACCACGAGCCATAAGCAGATACATTTTCACTTGCTATTCATTCAAGAATTTTTGCATCAAATAACCCATTGGAATGATGCTAAACTGTTCGCACGATCTTTAAACATTGCATGCCAGCATACATACATACATATATAAGTATGTAAGTGCATACATCATGCGAAGTTTATTTGCATGTCAAGTTACCAGACACATACTAACTGAAGAAAAATTACTGTTATTTAACATTTGTTTAATCCAAATGTACAATTAAGCACCTTAGCTCTGTATAATTTATTAAAAACCGATTCAAGCAAATACAAAATCGAGACTCTACTTAAAAATATGTACTTATTTACGTAACTGGACAATTCCATTGCTTTTATAAGATAAAATTTTGAAATAAAAGATTTCATGCGCTCAGGTGTACTTACATACATACATACATACATATACATACATATATATATGTACAGTATCGGTCATATCAATAGCACCCCACTTCAAAGTGATATTGTTTGCCACTAATTTTTACTAATTTATTTTGAAAAATTTTCAATTAAAATACAGTTCATTCACTAACAAAAGACATACTTAAAAACCCAAGTTTAAAACTTTGTAGAAAACTAGAAAATATCTACAAATTTTCATCCAAATTTTAAACCTTTTTTCTCAGTATTTGCGGAGTTCTTTTGAGTACACAGTTTTTAAATTATTTTTTTTTTAGAATAATTCACCCCACATGTTTGAAAAGTTTAATCTTAAAAGGTCTGCATAAACATGTTTTTAAACATTTTATCAACGCACTATGCTCTAAACTTTGGAGTCTAAATGCCTGGTTTTGTGGACAAAACAAATTACGGCAAAATAAATAGATAATTTAAAGAAGTAAAGTTTTTGATTGTTTGAAATATTTTAATCCTTCACAACCGAGGGATCTAGAGTGGTCACTTTGCAGGNGTTATTAAGCCCATTTATACAGAGGCAATTTTTTTTTTAAATTTTGCAAAATTATACTAATTTCAACTTAAAACCTGAAAAGTCTGATTTCTTACTTTAACTTCTGAAAAGTTAAAAGGTGCAACCTTTGCAGCAACAAAAGTGTAAACCGACTTTTGTTTCCTCTCTTTTTTGAGTTCTCCCCTCCAAACGGTAAATAGTCACCTACTGACAGATAACCTCCAAAGCAGTCGTTTTCTCAGGAATAGCCACAAAAACCAATCCTAGCCAAAATTCCCTAGGCTTATGTAAAATTAAGATTTAAGAAAAATCTAATAATTTATTAGGTGCCGAAATTGAGATTTAATCAGCAAAACCAAGTTACAATATTTTGTTCCTACACATCCATAATAGT